CTGAGCTGGAGAACCCCAAAGGAGCCAACAGGCATGCAATGCAGTGTGTAAGGCCAGTGTGAGGACAGCGGCTGCAGCCAGGCGGTTCTGCCTGCTCTGGGGGTGGAGGAGAGCAAGGGACCCGTTGTGAGAAGGTCTGAGGGGCCGAAACTGAGTTAGCAAGAGAGACTCCATGTCCAACACCCCCCTCGCCCCCTCGTCTTATTCTCAGTATGCTTTGGAGAGACACTTAAAACTGCATATGGGCAAGCTAATCAGTAACCAGTCAGTAACCAGTAGAATGACCTGTTAGCAGATTTAAGTCCTCTGCCCAAACTGTTCCTTCTCTCCCTGATAAGAAAATAACCAATGTTTTCTTAGATTCCTCAGGAACGTCACATTCAGCAGATCCAAAACTTGTCTGTGGAGAGGCGCTCAGCGGTCTGTGGTCATCCAACACTGGGCACTCTTGAGCCCCCTCCCCAACCCTGTTTGCCTTATATAAGGCATTTCCAAATCAGTTCCCTTTTAAGATGGTTTTTTTAGGACGACAATCTACCATCTTCCAATTAGCTAGCTCATCGCTTAAATAAAGTTTTCTCTCTCCACTGCCTTGCCTCTTGACGGATTCTCTTTTGTCTTGCTGCGAGCAGATGGAGCCCTTGGTAGCCTGAGAATGCTGCAACTGACCCACCAGGGACCCAGGCTGCTGGGAACAGAACCAGCACCGAGCAAGACAGGGACAACGGAGACCAGGAAGGAGGGGTCCAGATTCAAGTGGGAGAGCTCAGGAACCTGGCCACCACATTCTTAACAATATTCAAAATGCAACAGACAGAGCTCTGTGAAGTGAGAAAAGCTCTCTAAACTAAATGTCTAGGACAAAGAGCAACAGGCGAGTATTGAGGTCAAATCCCACGTGGAGCTATTCTAAGAAGAAAAAGGAGCAGAATGAACATCCCCACAGACAGCGAGGGCATGCCAGAAAGACGTGCCCACCACACAGACCAAAATGCACTGCTTCAAAAGGAGCTTCACAACGTCAAAAAATGATACCAGACGGGGAAGACCACACATCAGCATCAGAAAACACCAGAAACAAGACGACAGAACTCAAGAGAATTAGAAAGGCAAGAAGGTAATTTTAGAAATGAGAACCAAGAGCAAATAAAGACAACAAATAATGTCTTGAGAGACAGAAAATGAAGAGGAAGATAACGTGTAAAAACACAAAGAAATGAAGAAAGATAAAAGATTCAAGATGAAGTAGCAAATACTGAAGATGGGCAAATTAGATTTCAACATACAGGTAACAGGGTCCCCCAAAGAAAACCAAAGCAAGTGTGATATAGTGATTTATAATAAGAAATACATATTTGGTCTTCTCCCCCTTCCTAGCACAGAGCTCCTAAAACCCCTAGAATCTCCTAGGTAATGAGAGTGACAAGGGTGTCTTTTGTTATGTTAACGAGGTGACTTTTAGAGAACACTGAGGACAGAGGCTGGTTCCCAGAACCAACCATGAGATTAGAGGGGCTGGAGATTGAACCAATCACTAATGGCCAATGATTTAGTCAATCACGCCTGTGTAACGAAGCCTGAGAAAACCCCAAAGGATGGGGCTTGGAGAGCTTCTGGGTTGGTGACCACGTGGAGATGTGTGGTGCACTCAGAGAGCACAGAAGCTCTGTGCCTCCTCCCCGTACCTGCCCTGTGCATCTCCTCCATCCGGCTGTTCCTGAGTTATATCCTTTTACAATAAACTGGTGATCTAGTAAGTAAACTGTTTCTCTGTGAGCCGCTGTAGCAAATGCATTGAACCCAAGGAGGTGGTCGTTGGAACCTCCAATCTATAGCCTGTCGGTCAGCACAGGTGACAACCTGCCCTTGTGACTGGCATCTGGAGTGGGAGGGGCAGTCTTGTGGGACTGAGCCCATAACCTGTGGGATCTGATGCCACCTCCAGGTAGGTAGTGTCAGAACTGAGTAGCATTGGAGGACACCCTGATGGTGTTGGAGCATTGCTTGGTGGTTTCGGAACCCCCTGCACCCCACCCCCCACATGTTGGAACTGGGTCCACAACTGTCACAAGAAAAACAGAACACTAAACCACAATTCAAGACAACATTTCTGAAAATTTTTTTTTTTTTTTCCCGTAGGGAAAGAGTCGCCCTGAGCTAACATCTGTTGCCAATCTTTCTCTTTTTTTTTTCCCTCCCCAAAGCCCCAGTGCATGGTTGTATATCCTCATTGTAAGTCCTTCTAGTTCTTCTGTGTGAGCCACCGCCACAGCATGGCAGGTGACAGACAGGTGGTGTGGTTCCGTGACCAGGAAACGAACCTGGGCCGCTGAAGTAGAGCACGCCAGACTGTAACCACAAGGCCATCAGGCCTGGCTCCTGAAATAGCAGATTTGAAAATACACATACAAAGAGCACACCATATACCTGCAAATACTGACCCAGGGCAACCAGCACATGACACAGTCTAATAAAATTAATGAATTGAGAAAAAGGAAAAAATCCTTTGGACATCTAAGCAAGAGGAGTACACGACTTACAAGGGAAAGAAAATAAGATTTATTAGGTTTTTCATGCATCACTTTATGCTGGAAGAAAACTGAATAAAATATTTTAGGTACTCAAGGAAGAAAATGTAAGCCAAGGATTTCACATCCTACAAAACCAATCTTTAAGTATGAAGGATACAAACTAAATTCCACACACAATAACGCAGGGATTATGTGATGATACTGACCAAGATGATACTGACCTCAAGACTGGTTATAAGCACTAAATATACAGAAATATGACTAAATGAGGGTAAGACGAAGAGATTTTATGTAATGGTTGACAATGTAAATACAGTACTGTTTTCATTATAATTAATGGCACAGCTTATACTAGTATCCAAATACTATATGTTAAAGTGGAATAAAGCAAGCAACTAATTAAAGGATATTCTACTCCATCATCCCATGTCCAGAGAACCAGGATCCTCAAGGCAGGAGACACAGACATAATACAGAAGGGGTTATGTATCCTGGAATCCTGAATTTGTATTGGGAATATCAACATGAGCTCAGAAAATACTTTATTTTGAAATGTGTATGTTCATGTGTATTTTTTATAACTCTGTCCACTAAAAATGCCTAGAAACAGTGACCAACCTAGTAGCAATGAGCATCCCACAGTGTGGATGGGAAATACCATTTCTGCCATTAAAAGAAACCAGAGGGGGCTGGCCTGGTGGCTCAGTGGTTAAGTGTGCGCACTCCAATGCAGGGGCCCAGGGTTCGCAGGTTCGGATCCTGGGTGTGCACTAACGCACCAGTTGTCAAGCCATGCTGTGGCGGTGTCCCATATAAAATGGAAGAAGATGGGCACGGATGTTAGCTCAGGGCCAATCTTCCTCGGCAAAAAGAGGAGGACTGGCAACAGATGACAGCTCAGAGCTAATCTTCCTCACAAAAAAAACCAGAAGAAACCCGAGATTCTGAGAGAAAGAGCAGATTCTAGGTTTGGAGCAGGAAACGTACAAGATGGGTCTAGAAAACCCTGATGCACCAGACTGCAAGGACCCTACCAATGACTGTGTGTATTCATGTGCGTGCGGTCTGCGCACGTGTGGATTGCATGTGAGTGTCCTGTGTGTGGTGTGTACATGTATGTTTGTGTGTGCATGCGGTCTGTGCATGTGTGGACTGCGTGAGTGTCCCGTGTGTGTGGTGTGTACATGTGTGTGTGCATGAATGTGCGCATACATGAATATCAAAAGAAATCAAGAGCCAACCTGAAGAGGCTCCCTCCTATGGGACAAAGAAGCTACAATTTGGGTTCAATAAAGATAAAAACTGCAATGAATTGAAACCCATCAAATATGCGTTAAGTCCATAAGATCATCATCACACACACACACACACACACACACGTTAGTGGTCACCTTCTAAGGATGACAGGGAACTAATCATCCTAGCATTCATCTTGCCTTTCTTATATGAACTCTACCACTGGGTAACCGAATAGGTAGATGAGGGGAAGCATCTTCTCCTATTATTCCAGCCAATAAATGCAAGCAAAATAATAGAATATCACCATTTTGCAAGCCCCGGCTATGGATCTAGGCACTGAGCATCAGCAGCTGCCAACATAAAAAAAGATGAAAACCAGCTATGCCTTCTGATGAAAGAACACAGCCACCTACTGTCTTGCCAAAGGTGTGGAACCTGATTCTGATCAAGCCTCTGGATCCAGCTGCCAATTTGCAGGAAATAGAGAGGACAGAATTTAACGCTGGACAGCACTGTAAGCACACAAGCAGCAAGTAGGAAATGACAGGACAAATGGCCCAGGTTCTTCAACAGATAAAATGTAAGGAGAACAAGATGACAGACGGGGCCCGTAAATTAAAGACACTTAAGAAATATTATGTTCAAAAATTAAAAAAAGAGACAAGACTAAACCACCATAAAGAACCACAAGGAAGTCGTTTCTATAAAAGTCAGAGTTAGTTTTGGAGGGAGAGAGGGGGCTGTGATTGGAGCGACATTTGGAGAACCTTCTGGGGTGTCCGGCAAAGCTCTATTTCTTGACCTGGATGGAGGTTAAAGGGGTATTCACCTTATAATAATTCAATAAGCTATGGGCCAGCCCCGTGGCTTAGCGGTTAAGTGCGCGCGCTCCGCTGCTGGCAGCCCTGGTTCAGATCCCGGGTGCGCACCGACGCACCGCTTCTCCGGCCATGCTGAGGCCATGTCCCACATACAGCAACTAGAAGGATGTGCACCTATGACACACAACTATCTACTGGGGCTTTGGGGGAAAAAATAAATAAATAAATAAAATTATAAAAAATAATAATAATAAATAATTCAATAAGCTATACATTTGTTTTGTGTCATTTTCTGTATGTTCTAAAAGAGTAACAAAAAGTAAAGGTATAAGTAAATAAATGATAACGTCAAACTTTTTTTTAACTTGCATAGTGCTTTAGCAAAAACACTCAAAGAAAATTTTAAAAGATTTACACATCTAGGTCTTTAATAGTTGTAGTTGTTCCTATATAATGGTCGAGTAGCCAGGGCTACCTGTGTGCAGGCTTGCCCTGTACATGGGTGCCCAGCCAGGTAAGACCCAGCCCACATTCTCTGCCAAGCTGTGGGCCCACATGGGCTGCACCTGGCAAGGCAGTAACCGGCACACAGGCACATGGTGACCCGAAAATCCTTAGACTCAATCCTCCCAACTGGAAGGTAAATGAACTCTTTCAGAACACTTCTAGACTTCCCCCCTTTTTTTTTTTTTGTGCTGAGGAAGACTGGCCCTGAGCTAACATCTGTTGCAATCTCCCTTTATTCGCTTGAGGAAGATTCACCCGGAGCTAACATCTGTGCCCATCTTCCTTTATTTTGTATGTGGGTCACAGCCACAGCATGGCTGCTGACGTGGTTTAGGTCTGCACCCGGGAACCAAACCTGGGCCACTGAAGTGGAATGCGCCAAACTTAACCACTAGGCCATGGGGCGAGCCCCTCAGTCTGTATTTTTTAACCAATGTTTTATTCATCCTTATTAAATCAAAGTCCCTAAATTTTTGTCCAGACTGCAATAAAACTAATGAGAATGGTATCAAGCCCAATAAAGCATAACGCTGAAATCTCAAATAACTCTCAAATCTCAAAGGATGCTCAATTTATTATACATTTAACTACTTTTTATCACATAGTATCACAGAATGCCACCAAGCCTTCCTGATTTAGTTTGACAGTTTGTTTCCCCATCTACTGCGATGGTCCTCCTGTAGTTTCGTTTTTCATACCAGTAAGTAAAGGTAAGAAAACAGTCACCAGCTCAAGTTTTCCCAAGAATTAAAATTACTTCATTCAGTCTTCAGATTGCTTAGCTCCTTCTCTTGCTAATCTGTCAGCTTCTTCATTGCCTATAAATCCCGAATGACCAGGAACATGCATCTGTCAAATAAATTTTTCCTGTTATTTTTACTAATTTTTTACACAAACACGACTACATCCTCACTGTAAAAAATATCGACTATTCAGAGTAGGCTGAGTAGGAGAAAGCTCTCCTTCGTGCCCCTCTTCCTCAACACAGTTCTAAACAGTACACTGTATATTGCTAATGCACTTATGCAATGGATACACTGACAAAAATTCCATTTTGATTTTCCACAAATTGGATTTTACTATTTGTAATGCTTTCTTCCCACTTAATGATGGGACTTGGCAAGCTTTCTAGGCAAAGCACGTTTGTACGGATGGATGGATATGTATGATATGCACATTTTATTCTCCTTAAACGCTGTTAAAAAGAAGGGGTGTATTGATTTGATTTAACCACTGTCTACATTCACATTGCCGAAAGGCAAATTATAAACGCCAGCTACCCAGCTGCTATCAGTGGTCCTGGGGCAGGAGAGCAAAGGAGGGTTAAGAAAACGTTTGCAATTTAACTTGCTCTGTACTGTTTGACAAAATGATTTTAATAAAAATGATCAATTATAGGAAAGAAACCTCCATTTTGGGAAAAAGACACGTTACTAAGTTCTTGTCACACAACTTTATCTGTAACAAAATACACTATAAATTAGTTTTATTTAACATTATGGCTGCTTCCAAAGAAACCGATAGGTTGACTGTTACAAGTCACTTTAACAGTGATGAGGTGTGCCCAGGCGAGGACAACGTAAAGAATACAGAACGTCCCTCAATCGCATTGCCAGAGCAGTGCGTTCTGTATACAATGGTACCCTCTTTTTAAAGCAGTATTACTGGAGGCAAGTGGAGGCCTGGGTGGCACAGGAACACAGAAGGAAGACCATTTCCTCCGGAAACGTGGACATCAACCTCACCACCTTCAGACACACGTCCAGTGCTGGCGCGTTTGTGCAGTCATCCAGCTGCTGCCAAGCTGGCAGCACCGAAACCCTACTTGACTCCCTTGGTGCCTACTTCTGTCTTCCTCTTCTGAATTCCTGTCACTAGAACCCTTAGTTTACTATGTAATTTCTCTTGGGCTGTTTTTTTGTGATTTGTTTTTTAACACCTTCTTGACTGTAAACTTCTTGGATATAAAGACCTTGGAGGTTGCCCACAGCATCTAGGGATATTTAATAAATACCTAGCTTGATTAACCATCATTATCAGTCTCCTAACAGCAACAAAGACAGCAACTATGGTGGACTAATTAACGGTAGCAAAATGAGATCCTTCTAATCTCTTATCCAGCAGTGCCTACATAATACATCTCGTCATCAACGTAGAATCTACCACCTCTGATACTCACTGTGACTATGTAGGTCCTTCCGTTCAGGGGCTCTTAACCTATTTTTGTGCTATGAGCCTTTTTGCAGTCTGGTAAAGCTTATGAACCTCTTTTCAGAATATTTTTTACTTTTTTTATTATGGCAAAATATATATAACATAAAATTGGCCATTTTAACCACTTTTAAGTGTACAAATCAGCAGCATTAATGACATTCACAATATTGTGCAACCATCACCACCATCTGTTTTCAAAACTTTTTCATTACCGCAAACAGAAACTCTGTACCCATTAAGCCATAACTTCCCATTTTCCCCTCCCCTAGCCCCTGGTAACCTCTCTTCTACTTTCTGTCTCTATGGATTGTCTACTCCAGATATTTCATTTAAGTGGAATCAGACACTATTTGTCTTTCACGTCTGGCTTATTTCACTTAGCATAATGTTTTCAAGGTTTATCCGTGTTGTAGCATGGATCAGTACTTCATTTTATGGCTGATGATATTCCATTGTATGTATACATCATATTTTGTTTATCCATTCATCTGTTGATGGACACTTGGGTTGTTTCTACTTTTTGGCTATTGTGAACAATGCTGCTATGAATATTTGGCGTAGGAGTAACTTTTTGAGTCCCTGTTTTCAATTCTTTTAGGTGTATACCTAGGAGTGGAATTGTTGGATCATACGGTAATTCTATGTTTAACTTTTTTGAGGACCTGCCAAACTTTTTCACAGCAGATACACCATTGTACATTCACACTAGCAATGTACAAGTGTTCCATTTTTTCCATATCCTCTCCAACATTTGTTATTTTCCTTTTTTATTATAGCCGTCACAGTAGGTATGAAGTGGTATCTCGTTGTGGGTGTTTTGGGGGTTTTTTTTGCATTTCCCTACTAACCAAATATGAGCATCTTTTCATGTGATTATCAGTCATCTGTATATCTTCTTTGAAGAAATCTCTATTTATTTCCTTTGCTGTTTTTAAAATTAGGTTGTTTGTCTTTTGTTGTTGAGTTGTAGTTCTTTATCTATTTCAGATATTAAACCTTTATCAGATACATGATTTGCAAATATTTTCTCCCATGCTGTAGGCTGTCGTTCACTCTATTGATAGCGTCCTTTGGTGTACAACAGTTTTTAATTTCAATGAAATCCAATTTATCTATTTTTTCTTTTGTTGCCTGTGATTTTGGTGTCATATTTAAGAAACTATTGTGAAATCCAAGATCATGAAGATTTTCCCTTATGTTTTCTTCTAAGAGTTTTGTCATTTTGACTCTTAAATTTAGATCCTTGATCCATTTTGAATTAATTTTTGTATATAGTATAAAGTAAGGGTCCAACTTCATTCTTGGGCATGTGACTGTCCCATCCTCCCATCACTATTTGTTTGAGAGACTGTTATTTCCCCATTAAGTGGTATTGGCCAGAATATTTTTTAATGCATAAAGTACATAGGTTTATAAAAGAAACCAGTTACATTGAAACATAGTTATCAAAACATGAAAAATTCCAAAATTATGTTATTTAACAATGTGGGTCTAATAACTCCCATAATTTCAAAGTAGTGATTAATATAAATGATATTTTAAGATATCTGTAGCAATTTTAATGTAATATGAAAATATTTGTGATTTCTATTGGTGACAAAGTCAAGTTCTGCTGATACTACTGTGGTTTGTTGTCAATGTTCATAACTGAAGGAATATTAAATTTCAGTTAGGAGGTTAGTGAAAATAAATATATAATTTTTCCTAAGTTCAAAAATAAATAAAATAAAATAAAGCAGTATTACTTATGTGATGATCAAAAGAATCAAATGTGTTCTAATACACACATGGTATTAGTTTCATGGAAATTATTACTTTAACCTAAGCCATTAAATCACTTAAGAGAAACCACTGCTCTCTCGGGTTAATTTACTTCACTTGGCCATAAGACAGGACCATTTAAGAGCACACTCACCCACTGGATGTCCATGCCCTGGGTAAGTCTCTCCAGCTCCACAAAGTCCTCTTTGTTGATCACCTCTTTCCCTGTGCTCGTTCTCCATCCATTTTTCTTCCAACCCTGAACCCAGTTTGTGATACCTAGAAGAAACCCACACTCAACAGATCCGTTAATCTTGAATGTTCTAGTCTCTTTTCCTCCCCAGATGTCCCTCTTATAATCACCCCGCCTTGTATTCTGAGTAGCATCCTGGCCTTTGGCACAGACCTTAAACACTCCGTTTCTTGTCCCCTTACTCTAACTCGACCTATAGCTCTCAGCCCAAGATGATGTCACCTCCTCCAGGAAGCCTTCCCCAACCTCTTCAGCCCTCCCTGTGCTCCTATACATGGTATTTCCCAAAGAAGCTATCAGCATGCCATCGTAAGTTACTTACATGTTTAGACTCAAAGTGCCACGAGAGCAGGGACACATCTACCTTACCGTTGCATCTTCAGTGCCTAGCAAAGAAATGCCTTTGTGGCAAACGGTGGAGCAGCAGAAGTGGGCTCCCAAGCCCTCACTATTTCTTTACACCTGACCAAGCGACTGGTATCCCCATTCACCACCTGGTTCCTGCGCTGACACAAGAGGCCCTACGGGGGAAGGAAATATCTACTTTCCGTCACGTTTACTGGAAGTAGATGGTAAAAGCTTACCATTGATAGTAAACATGCTGTCCGTGTACAGAACCAGCTTACTGATGTTCTGAGCCTTCGCCTGCTCGATGGCTTTGCAGGCTGCCTTGAGGAAACAAGCCAGTGTCACGCTACAGAAGAGGTTCAACTTTCAACATTACTGATAATCAAAATTACCTCAAAATGTAAACATTCCTTCTTAGTCTGTGCTAACTATAATAATTATATACTCTAAGTGAAATAATGCTACACATACAATTCTCCTGTTTAGATAGCTATATAAAATAAGTTCCAGGATTTTTCTAGAAAATTCCTATCCTTCAGAATTGTGACTAACCCCAACTAAGTTTCTACAGGACTTTTAATATCTTATATACATAGATAGTAAGAAGTTATATGTTCACAGTCAATGCTAAAGAATGATAAACTTACATTTTCAGTGGAAAAATGTATCTGATAACTTACATGAATTTCTGCTCTTTGGTTTGTTTGTCGTCCGGGAAGCCTAATGCCTACATTTCTGGTTTCAAAACAGAAAAAAAGAATATAAAATCACACAGCTAATTCTCAAAGTGATTCCTCAAGCCTCTTAATGGATAACAGACTTGTATACATTTTTATTTGAAATATGAAAGCATCATATAAAAACACAGCCTTTAGTATAATCACCAAGACAAAAAACAACAAATGTTGGAAAGGATGTGGAGAAAAGGGAACCCTCATACACTGCTGGTGGGAATACAAACTGGTGCAGCTGCTATGGAAAACAGTATGGAGATTTCTCAAAAAATTAAAAATTGAAATACCGTATGACCCAGCTATTACACTACTGGGTATTTATCCAAAGAACTTAAAATCAACAATTCAAAGAGATTTATGCACCCCTATCTTCACTGCAGCATTATTCACAATAGCCAAGATGTTGAAGCAACCCAAGCGCCCATTGACTGATGAATGGATAAAGAAGATGTGTTATATATATATGCAGTGGAATACTACTCAGCCATAAAAAAAGACCAAATCGTCTCATTTATAACAACGTAGATGGACCTTGAGGGTATTATGTTAAGCGAAATAAGCCAGACAGAGAAAGACAAACACCATATGATTTCACTCATATGTGGAAGATAAACACACGGACAAAGAGAATAGATTAGTGGTTACCAGAGGGGAAGGGGGGTGGGGGGTGGGCAAAAGGGGTAAAGCAGCACATATATATGGTAACTGACACATAATAACGTACAACTGAAATTTCACAAAAATTTCACAATGTTATAAACTATTATGACCTCAAAACAAAACAAAACAAAAAACACAGCCTTTAAAAATCAAGCCAACAATACTAGCATTCTATTGAAAAACACCATGTATGGTACTGTAGAAGGAACACTGGACCAGAATTCAAAAGGGAAGTTTAACTTCTGGACTTGAACTACATCAGCATGTGGTCTTGGGAAAGCACCCAACCTTTGGACACTCAGGTGTCGCACAAGTTCACCATCTCTTACAGGGTCTGAAGCTAAAATGAGACAGCCAAGTGACAGAACTTTATTGACTATAAGCTCAGGAGAAATGCAAAGTGGAATTCTTACTGAGTAGTTTATATTAAACATGCCTAACACCACTGTGAGCACGTGTAAACGCTGGAGAACAATACTCAGAACTGGTGTGTGGCCGCCTCATACGGGTCAAATCCCTCTTGTACGCTGAACGGGAAGGCTGTCAGTACTCCTCAAGTCCTTTCACATTCAGGGCCAGGTGCACTTGAATGACCACCCGCCACACCACCTTGACTTTGCTCACACATCTTCAGAAGAGTTGTGGTGATATTGTGGGTTCCAAACCTGATGACCTACCCCGGTGCATCCTTGCCAAACCACCTCCCAGGGAGATGTGTGACTCTTCTAGGGGGGCAGTCAGGTCATTTTGGTACAAAATCTTATCAGTGAGACACAGAGACTCGTCAAGGGTTAGGGCTAGGAAAGCAATGCTAAGGTAGTCTACGTTCTGAAGAACAAAGCCGTCAGTGTCAACATGCATCAAAGCTTGCTCTTTTGCCATCCCCTGCCAAGGCTGTTGATCAAATAATCAAACAATAAACAGATCCTGCCTCATTCTTTCACAAGTTTTAGAATATTACTCAGTAAAATTTGAAGCTTAAAACACTCAACTATTTAAATTTACTTACAAAGGATGGCCTGGCCCCCAGTAAACACCGATTCCTGCTCGTGCCCTCCTCCGCCCATTACTGGAGCAGCAGCCGTCAGTGTAGACGACGACAAATTCTCCTGTAAGAGGGAAACAGTGAGAGCTACTAGACCAATGTTACTAAAAACTGAAATTCACCTAAAAATTTTACTAAGGTTGAATTAGCATTTTAAACTGAGAGAGAACTTTATGATGCTGTAGAAGTTTTCCACCTAGGAAAACATTATCAATTCCTTATATAGGGGCACTTGACACTTTTTGTCTGGAATCCACTCATGTTTCGGTCCCAAGGCGAAGGCAAACACTCTGTAAACCTAGAACCCGCTGCAATGAGAATTGCTGCTCACATCCCCACTACAGGGGTCAGAGAACAATGCCACTGTCCCTCTCCTCACGGGGGGCAGGGGTCACATTCACTCCCCAGAACTGTCATTCCACACAAGCAGTGCCTTGGCACGATGGGGACCTGCCTGCCAGCAGGTCAAGTCTTCCGACAAATGTTGGTCCAATTTTTTTTCTTAGTATATTTGCCACTAGTAAACTGTGGCCCCCCATCTTTGCTTCTTTCCATCGAGAGAGAGGATATGACCAACGTACCAATGCTGCACAGAACAAGGTAGAAAAGGACTAGTGTGAGGCCACTCTCAGGCCAGTGATGACCAGCAGCACACTCCAGCAGGGCAGTGGGAAAAGTCAGGCTGCAGGCGTTCAAGAGCAGGGGCGTGGGAGCAAAGAACAGCAGACTGGACTCGGCAGCGGCAAAGGGAAGGCAGCAAGCTGTGAAAGGAAGGAACAGCAGGTCCCAGCAGAAGTGGGGGCAGTCTGTGAGGGCTCGGGTGTTGGGCAAGCCTCCTCAGTTCAACTGCACTGGACCCATCAACAAGACTGCCTTCCTAGTCACTGAATTCTGTTTCAACCGTGAGTACCTCGTGTATGTCAGGGACCCTGTTAGTGCCACTGTGCTTCAAGCACCTGTCAGTACATTGGAAATGGCTCGTCTCCCAATCCAAAAGTATTTGCTTCAATTACTAATGGTAAATAACCAAATCAAGGATATTTTATTTTTTACACAACTGCGAAATTGATTTATACAGTCTTCATACAGCTTGACAAAACATTTTCTATTGCTTTCCTTTAAATTAAATTATAAAATGGCTTCTTGGAGGAAAATTTGGAACCTACAAATACACTGATTTATATTATAAAAAAGCTACTTTTTCCCATTTTATGTCCATACATGTAAAAGACAAAAAAGAAACATATTCATAAGTCATTAAATATAAACAATTGATTGCTGGAGTTAAAGGTGGAAGAAAGTTCATGGCTATCTTGCTTCTCAGGACGAAGTAGGATCATTTATGTTTTGCAAAGATTGAATATAAAAGGTTAAGTTGCTGGTGTCAATCGATTATAAAAGGATCTCTGCCTAGGGCCTTTCTTATTTGCATTTTGTCTAACTTAGTGACCTGAAAAACCCTGTGTGCATAGGAAATACTGGTATTTCAAAAGAGTAGTGGTTTTCACTTGTAGCCTATGTAATGGTTTTCCTATGGACGTCTAAAATTTTAATAATTCTGCACCATTTGATCAATTATAAAACAGTGACCTTCGAGATTTTTAAATAACATTTTCAGATAACAATGAGGACGTTAAACATCAGCTCAAATTTCCCCCATTAAGAAACTGCTAAAAGTTTTTGCACACAGATATATTTTCATGATTATTATACTAAGAATAAAAAAATCCAAGAAAGATTTACCCATATAAGAAAACGTGTCTTTGCTGACTGATGGTATGGAGTCTGTGCTCTGTTTCACATGCTTTGCACATGGCTCTGCGTTTTCACCATCGTCTCCCTCCAAGGGCTCACGGAGTCGCTTGCTGGCTTTCACTTGTGATTCTTGTACATGTTCGTTTTTCTGCCCTGAAAGACAGAGACTACTCATAAGTCAGAAACAAAGAATACAACGTGAAATGATTAAGAATCAAATTCATTAAGTTAAATCAGACTTAAATACCCTCTATATGTGGCCCTAAAAAGAGGGAATGAATTAAGGCAGTCCAAACCATCTCAGACTTTGATGTCCTGTGAAGCTATTCTACATTTTCCATGATAAGTTCGATAAAGGCAGTGTGAAAACAGAGCAAAGCTTCTGTTAAAAAAGAAATCTGGTTTCGATGGAGACAGTACCAAGGGTCCTAAACCCTTTAGGGATCATAAACAGTTTTAAAATCTGAGGGGCTCTTTCCCCAGAAAAAACAAGGACCAAGTTGTTGTACATAAGATCAGTGGTAACTGTGGTTCAACACCCTGCCCGGCCCCACCCCCATACTCCAATTATACTCCAAGTTGAGACCCTCTAGGAAAGCTAAGAGGGCATGGGTAAGTAGAACTTAAACAGATAATGGGACATGTTAAGCAAGGGAAACAAACCAAAAGGTGTAAGGGACTGGATCCTTCAAGGACAGTGCTGTCGCACAGCCTTCCTTCAGCAGCCCGGCCAAGGTGGACTCAAGGTTAACTCCCCAGGGATTCTCACGTCCTCTCGGGTTATCTGGGAGCAGCAGTATCTCACCCACTCTTCTATATTCTCATGGCAGCTGAGGCAGAAGCTGCATTAGACCAGGATTCAAAATCCCTGAGTTTCAATTTGAGCTCTATCTTTTATGAGGCCAGGACTCAGTCAACTGACTTAACCCCTCCAGGCTTCTGTAACATGAGGCATTGGACCACGTGATCTGAAGCAGCTTTTCCAACATTATCATTTTAGGGAGTGGGGGTGGGGCACAGAAGGAGCAGCTAATTGGATCTCTAAAATAACCACCTGAACTCAACACCACAGAGTTCACTTTTAGCTCCAAACCCCTAAACCAGGGATGTGGAAATGGGCTCTATGGGCCAGCCCGGTGGCGCAAGCAGTTAAGTGCACGCTCTCCTCTGCGGCGGCCCACGGTTCGCAGGTTCAGATCCCGGGCGCACTGACGCGCTGCTTGGCAAGCCATGCTGTGGCAGCGTCCCATATAAAGTAGAGGCAGATGGGCACGGATGTTAGCTCAGGGCCGGTCTTCCTCAGCAAAAAAAGAGGAGGATTGGTGACAGACGTTAGCTCAGGGCTGATCTTCCTCACCAAAAAAAAGAAAAATTATAAAAAGAAAAAAGAAATGGGCTCTAACATGTACTGAGCACCCACTAGACAGGTACAAGCCAGAATCTCCCGCCTGGCACAGCTTCTCAAGCACACCCTCAGAACGCTAGGGTGATCGAGGCAAAACTTAAGTGAAGTCAATATCAGACACAGAGCAATGTTTGATATTTCCACTCTAGTATATTTGTGTTACCTTATATTTTCCATGAAAATACTCTAAGCACTCTACAGAAGTAAACTCAAACACACAGGTACAGGTCAAAGTGTAATTGTATAGTATTTTAATATTGATAAAAATATTAGTTTGACTGACTATAACAGAAAAAGTTAAATTGGACTCAAAGTTTTCAAAGAACAGGTAAGACTTTCAAGGAAAAGAGGACCACGGTTGTCATGTGATTTTTACTTCACAAAATTGTGGTTTTTCTTTGAGTAAATTAACCCTAAATCAGCTTATATAAACCACAGGAACTAACAAATAGCTCAGTAATCCTAAAATAAGGATAAATGTAATATTAAAAGAAAAACTGGGAAAAGGGCTAACACTTTTGCTTTTTTTTGGTTTGGCTCCTGAAATTAAAGATGTTAAATCCCAATTTACATACATAAGTCACTGACTAGGAGGTCTCTGTAACTGTTAAGAAAGGTAGATTCATGGATATAAGGAACTAGCTTGTCTTAAGAGTTAGAGTACTTAATAAACAGAAACATACTATATTGGAAGAATTGAGATATGAATAAATTACTAGTTGGTTAAAACAAAATCCCGTGACAAGAAAGTATTAAGAACCCAACCAAGATGAGAGACATACTTCCAAACTTGTCTCTGCCCCAACTGACTTCTCCATCTGGGCAGAAAATGTCACATCAGAACCTCCTTGGAAAGCTGCTGGGGAGATGCAGGGTGAAGCAGACGCACAACGAAGGAGGTTCCCTCTGCTTCAGAAACCAGTTCTCCAGGGTAGACCCTGAGCGTGATCTGCCTCACCCCGAGTTCTGCTTTGTCCAGAATTGTTAACACATCCCAAAGGAGCAGCTGTCCAACACCCGAGCATTGCAGTGGGTTCTAGAGAGACTGTTTAAGAGAAGCTGATTCAAACTACCCTCCGCTCTGTCTTCACCCACGGTAATAAAAAAGTTTGTGAGTAAAGTTAATGAAAAATCGCTTCTCCAAGATAGGTTAAGAGATATTTTTTAAATCTTGTGCTCTAAAGCAGAGTCACCCTAAGTCCTGCATACCTGATGTCCCTTACATCAGTCCTTACACTTCAAAGAACCATACTTTCTGTAACACGTGAAACTGGAAGACATTCTGATTGCGTGACTCTGTCCTAAATAAAAAGGAAACACCACACAGATGCATACATTCTTCACTTTAAAACTGTAGCCTATGCAATCCAATAAAAAGAACAAGTATTTTTTAAAACATGGAATTAAGTATAGTGAGGACACTGAATGGAACAGGAGATCTCAGTCCTGGCTTATCTCTAATATTGTTCCTGACAGAAACCACTAAGCTAAACTGCTTTCAGCCTGTTTCCTAATCTGTAAAATGGGAAGAATTATATCTTCTCTCTCTGCCTAGAGAATAGCTATAGAAATCAAGTGAGATCTGGGATACGAAAGGCTTTAAATAGGTTAAAGTGTCACAGTGATGTGAGTCGGCGACTACCTTCCGAACCGTTGGGGCTTGCAGAGTTCCTGACGAAGGCCCAGGCCTCCTCTTCTGTGGCAAACTTCTTAAATCTGGCAGCAGGAAACCGGTCCACCTGCGCTCTACACTCATTCCTGGAAGAGAGCGCAATGTTACTTTCTTCCTCCCTCCCTTTTACTTATCCCCTTTTAACACTCTTTTCTTAGGTTGAGAATAGTGTGAAAAAGGTTGGTGCTGTCAGTTCCATGGAGGAAAAGGGTCATGCCTCACTGTTTAGATTTATCTTGCACGTCAACCCTTCACCTGTGTCAAGCTCCGTGCCAGCTCGTCAGTACCCCAGCACAATAAGGTTTTCCTCAAACTCTAAGCATACCAGAATTGTTGGGTCTTTGAAAAACATCCCACTAACCATTTCATCACAGCAGAGGTCAGCTTCCTCCCCAGCAGCAGGGCTGCACAGGGAGGCACAAGCGCGCACACACCTACACTGACGGTAAACCCCGATACCGTTTGCGGGAACGGTCCTGGTCAGCGGGTCAGAACACCTGGGTTCAGGTCCTACACCAGTCACTGACTAGCCCGTGAACTTCCTGACCCCGTAACCACACCTGAAAACGAGAATAATCCCACTTATCTCAAAGGAGTGCTACAGGAACACAAATATTAATTTACAAGAATTTCTCTCCTTGAAAGCACAGGGAAGACTGGCTAGATATTACCTGAGTTCCACTACGTGTAACCTCTTGGAAATTCCTTCATTGCAACAAGGAACGATTACATAGAGGCCCCCGGCCACCCCCAAACTGGAGCCTCTGACATTCCCAACAAAGACGAAACGGCGTCCAGGCCTCGGGCCGGTACGGGGGCGGACGTCGGCCGACAAGGCGGGGCGCCCGGGGCTCCCCCGCCCAGGCCGCGGGCCGCGCACCCAGGGCGACAGCCGCCTCCCCGCGTGGAGGCCCCTTCGCGGGAGGCGCGGCTCCCTCACCAGGTCAGGAAGACCCCGGCCTTGCGGCCCCTCCGCACGGCATAGAACATGCTGAGCCCCCCGCAGCCGCGGCCACTGCAGCGCACCACGGCCAAAGCGACTCTGTGCGCCACGCTCAGGAGCCTGGTCATCGCTCACTCCCGGCCCGCGGCCGGCATCTCCGCTCCCGGCCCGGCGCCAACATAGCACAGAACACCTGGCGGCGGCGGCCGCGCGGAGATGACGCGAGTCCTGGGGAGATGACGCGGTCCCGGGCGGGGCCTGGAGGGCGGGGCCTGGAGGGCGGGGCCTGGAACCGTGCGCTCCTCAGGCTCCTCAATTTCCTGGACGTCCTGAGGGAGCGGGGCCCCGGCGGAGGGGCGGGGCGGGG